CCGGAACAGCCCAGGGCCAGTGGCCAAGGTGCTCAGCTGTCGTTCTGATTGAATCCAGATGCTCTGCCATGTGTGTGAATGTGCTCTGGGAGCATTTACATGAAAACCGCAAGGATCAGAGAGGTGTTCTGGGCACCGGCTTCGTGCCAAGCTGGGGGTGCAGAGCTGGCGAAGAAGCCCCAGGCTCCTTGCTGATGGCTGGTGGCCCAGGTGGGGCGGTCCCTCCACCCCAGCCTCTACCCTCTGCTTCGGGCCACTAGGACAGCCCACATCTGCTGGGGTGCCAGGAGCCAGGCAGCTGCTGGGACTGGGCCCAGGGCCACCTTGCTTCTCAGAAGCAGTCCAGGTGGGGAGGCTGGCTGGAGCCTGGCCAACATCCTCCAAGGGCTCCATGCTGGGCCCAGAAACGGGGCATTGAGCCCAAAGTGACCTGAATTCAGAAATCACTCAGAGAACAGCAGAGGCTACAGGGAGCGATGGCTGAGTCCAGGCCCAGCAGGAGCGGCTAGATGGAGGCCGTGTAGCTCCGCCACCCTGCGTTCGCAGGCCCTTTGTGGTTGTGGCTGGATTGGCCAAGGGGACAGGCAGGACCTTCCTACACCACCACTGTGCTCAGTTTACTGCCTGCCCTGGCACATGCTGGCCCAGGTGTATGGAGGGGAATCTGAGCCTCGGGGCCCCCGGGCACCTCGCAGCGGACAGGGCCTCAGCCCGGGGCTCTTGCAGAAGGCAGTGCGTGTGCGGCCCTGTAGCCTGTACCCATGGTGCTAAGTGATGAGAGGCCCATGGGATGCACTGGAGACGGGGGCTGCAGAGAGGCATGGCAGAGGAAGGAAATGGTCCACGGAGGAGGAGGAGGAAGGACTTGGAAATAGGTCCAATTTGCAGGTGCCACACAGCCACTGAAGGAGCCACATCCCAGCTGGCACTGCTGGGGAGGCCGGGCCACTTCCCGCTGCACACAGGCTGGCAGCCGCGCCAGTGCAAGGGGCTGGCTGGGAGACACGGCTTTGGCACTCGGAGGCTCCCTGTCCTGGCTCCGTCGCAGGCAGGCCCTGGAGCCCTGCGGTGCCCAGCTCTGCCCCCTGCACTGGGGCGGGCTGTCCGCTTTGTTCCGCCTCCTGACTCAGCACTGACTCTTCCAGAAACACCCTCCCAGACACGCCCAGAAGTACTGTTTTCCCAGCTGAGCAGCCAGGTCGCTGAGCACAGTCAGGGTGACACAAAATTAACCGCCGGAGCAGAAGCGGATTACGTGCACTTCCCATCTTGTCAGGGAATATTTTACCAGGATCGTTGCTCAGGGCTGAGATTTAAAACAGTCACTGTTGCTCCTTATCAAGGGCAGTCTCGTGGAAGCTGTTTCCTCTCCTGCACGCGTGAGCCGTGAACGACCGTGTGGGACTGCAGCCTGGGGCTGTGGCCGTGGTCCTCTTGTGGAAAAGGCGATGGCACCTTAATGTTATGCAGCTGGTGTTGGCCTTGCAAACCCCTGAAAATGGCTTTGAGGCCCCCAGGGGGCAGACGGTGAGGGGCAGGGAAGACAGGACGAAGTTCAAGCTTACTGCCCAGTGCCTTCTCTGGGGAACAGGAAGGCAGGAAGGGAATTTCCCCACCCCCTAGCTCCACCCCTGACCTCTGACCTGTATGCCAGGGCTCCCCAGCTGCACAGCAGGGTCCCCCTGCCTTAGCCAGGCCTCCAAGCCTGCTTTGTCCAGCCTCACGTTTCCATACTCACTGGCTCTGAATCTCAAACCTCAGTCTCAAACCCCAGCTGCCTGGCGAAGCCCTGTAAGCGTGGTGACCTCGTTATCCCTCCCTTCGTCCTCCCTAATCAGCGCTCAGTGAGGAAGACTGACTAGTTGGCTGGGCGCTTATATGACTGCCCCTCCTCCCACTGCCCCCTCCAGCTGTAAATAGAAGAAAGTCCAAACTCAAAGTGGCCGAAGCCGCTCAGCTCGCCTAAGCGGAATCCAGAGGCAGGACAGGACCCAGTACAGTGAGTGCAGTGGCTCTGCCTGCCTGTTCTCCTTGTGGCTCACTTGCAGGCCAGAGCTCCTCGCAGTCACGTGATGGCTGCAGGGATTCCGGACATCATACAAACACGTGACATCCACTAGGGAGGAAGAGCCCTGTACATCGAGAACCTTCGTAGACTGGGCCTTCCATCTGGACATGACTCACAGAGAAAGTGGGAATGGGAGAAAAATCAGGCTTGAGAGGAAAGAGGGAAGGTGGAGCAGTGAGCGTTTGTCAAATGGGCATCAACAGGAACTGGCAGTCATACCCCGGGCTTTGGGCAGTGAATAGGTCAGCTGTTATTGATGACAGTTCCCTCCAACGCCAGTCGCCTTCTTTAATATTTGGTCTCGCTGATACTTCGGGGTGTCCAGATGAGAGTTGGGGAGCTTTCATTCACTCATCCTTCTCTTCTGAATGCCACGGGAACCAGGAGTGGCCTTGCCACGAGGGCCACGCCTTGAGTTCCCTGCAGCTGCCCGTGGCTGGCAGAGCCGGGGGCTCCCCACCTCCCACAGTGTGGATTCTGGGCTCCTTGATCTCAGCGCCCCATCTGGCCCCCGGCCTTCACAGTCTCATCCCCCAGGCACCTCGCCAAGCCCGGAGTGCGGCTGAGCGTGGCAGGCCCCTTCCTCCCCATGTCCAAACCCTCTGACCCTTTAAGGACCCGTCCTCAGAACGCCTTCCTTGACTCGCCTGACGGCGCTGAGGGCCTCCCGATGCCTTGCAGATGTTTTGTGAGAACTTTTTGTGCAGCATTTGCTATATTAGGCACAGTGCTAAGAGCTGTACATGGAACATCTTATTCACTTTTAGAACATCCAGTGGAGGTAGGCATTCTGATCCTCAGGGATTAACTTGCCCGATGTCACACGCCAGAACTGAGAGAAGCTGTGTGTTCGTTCTGTATTGCTATGTTCAAATTACCCCCAAACTCAGTGGCTTAGAATACAAGTATCATTTTCTCACAGTGTCTGTGGGTCAGGAGTTTGGGCGCATCTCAGCTGGGTGGGTCTGGTTCAGGGCGCCACGTGAGCTTGCCCTGGGGTGTCAGCAGGGGCTGTGGTCTCTGCTGATGGCTCAGCCAAGGCTGGAAGGTCTGCTTCCAAGGTGACTCCCACACAGCTATGGGCAGGAGGCCAAAGTTCCTGCCCATTTAGACCCTCCACAGGGCCAAGTGTCCTCACAGTGTGGCAGCTGGTATCCCCACAACAAGCCATCCATCATGCCAAGGTTAAAGCTGATGGCTTTTAGGGCTTCACCCCAAAGCCAATTCCTCAAAACTTCATAACACAGCTGAACCCTCTTTGGTTGGGATGGAACTGCAGGTGGGCATGGACATCAGGAGGATAGACTCTGGAGGCTGAGGGCCGCAGGAAGGATGAGATCCGGGTCTTGCCTGACCCGGAGGTGGGATCTGTGACCTGGACCGCGGGACTCCAGAGATGCTTCTGGGCTTTTGAATCCCTTCCTGGCACAATGGCCGACTTCTGGGTTGGCCGGGAGAGCCCGCAGCAGGGAAGTGATGTGCTGGCAGCTCGCAGGGGTCCCTTTGTGAGGGCGCTGCCACCAGGTGGGTGTTTTGCTTTAATCATGTGAAAAGGTGCGATCCAGTTGCGCCCCACAGTTTGGGCTCATTAAGCTGCAGGTGTGAATGAAATGGGGGAGGATGCTGCTGCTGGAAGGACTCCCTCTGGGGAAAAGCTGGGGGCACAAAGCTGCCTGGGCCTCAGGGTGGGGCTGGGCTAGGGCTGGACTGGGTCTCAGGCTGAGGAGGCTCGGCTGCCTCCTGGAGGGGCAGACGGGACATCACACAGTGGCCAAAGCTGCTGCCCCCTGCCTTGTGGAGAAGGCATCCCCATGCCTCCCACACGTGCCAGCTCTGAGCTCTTTGCCAAGGAGCTGGAGACAAAGATGCCAGTCATGAGGGCAGGGAGGGTCTGCAGGCCCCACCTGCACTGGCTCTTGGGTGCCGTCCACAGGGGTGAGCTAGGAGCTGAGATGCACGCTTCCTTTAACCAGTCCGTGGCAAGACCCACGGGACACCAGGGATGCCCCTTTACTCTGGAGGGGCAGGAGCAGACAGCGCTCTGAGGCCCTCCCCAGGGCACCTGCCTCCCGGGGCTGGGTCCAAGCGTGGCTCAGGTTTGCAGCAGGCTGTGGCAGGAGCTCCCCCGAAGGGGCTCCCCTCCTCCCCAGGACACGGGCCTCCTGGCCCCAGGCCTCCGAGGTACAAGATGGCTTTCGACACTTCCCCATGAGGGGACAGCCCCCCACAAATCAAAGGTGGGGAGGTGTGTGCAGTCCTGAGGCCGAGCTGGGGGCCAGTTGCTAGAGTTCATGTCTTTATGGGTCCCTGACATTCTGTCCATATACACAGTGGGAAACACCTCATTTTGTTCTCTAACCTTTGTTTTAAGATTTGGAAATTACTTGGTGCTCTTTTTACTCTGGTGTAGACTGCCGTAAGCAAGGCCTATGTTCCTCTGTAGCTTTGCCACTGTCCTTTCCGTGGCTATGCGGGCTCTCATGACTGCTGCCTCCCGATCTGCCTGATTCACCGAGCCCGTGGCAGGACAGCGGCTGTTTCCTGGTTCGTGGCTATAAGGAACAGCGTGGCCACGAACATCTGCAAGGGCACCACTTGTGGCTTTGTTCCATTCTTTCCGGAAGGAGCTGGCCAGGCGTCACGTGGAGAGGAGCTCAGTTTTAAGGGGAGGGACACGTGTCTGATGTTCACACAACCTCACAGCCACAGGCCACAGGAGGCAGTAATGGGGCAGCACGCAGAGCTCTGGGTTGGAATCCCAGGTCTGCCGCTTGGTAGGCATGTGAGTGTGGCCATGTGATGTCGTGTGTCTTCATGGTGAAGGGGGACAGTGCAGGTACTGGCCAGCGTCACTGCCCTCCTGCCCACCGACCACCTCCCTGTCCAAAAGCCTCCCCCATCACCTTGCCCAGCTGGATTTTCCTTCAGAGTGTGGGCGGGGCTTAGCAATAGGCACCGATCTCACAGTGGAGGCTGATGGGAGGCTGATGGAAGCCCACGACTTGGCCTGCAGGTGGCGTCTTCTGTGTGTCCCATTGTTTGCCCGTCGCGAGATTATCCTTGGAGATCTTCTCGGAGCATTTAGGGGACCGGCCATGGGGACGGTGCTGGGCAGGAGCTGCCTGGAGGCTAAGAGCTACGTTTACGTGGATCCCCCTGAAGCGTTTCTCTGTCCCCTCTCCTTACGGCCTATCTGTCACAGTTACAGAGTCACGCGTCCACACCGTCTAAGGGCCCGCGCTCCCCTCCCTGAACACCAGGGGCACAACTTCTGACAGACTGTCGTGATGTTTGCCTCCAGGAGCCCAGGCAGCCTCCCCAGTCATCCTTGCTGCCATTTGCTCCTTTGAGGGACACTCAGGGGTCGCTCCCTCCCACCACACCCCGTCCCAAGGGTCTGCCAGTGACTGGCTGAGCTCCAGGCCAGTGCTTGTGCCTCAGTGTTTGTGTGGCTGATGTTTACATGACTGTGATTCTGTAAAGGCTCCTGGGGCCGCCTCCTGGGACAATGCGGTAACCACGCCCTTGCTTCCTGTCCTCCCCGCCTCTGCTCATCACCTTCTTTTTCTTGCTCTGTTTTCTATGTATGTACTCTTCTTCCGGGCCCAAACTCCCCCTCCATAGGGCAAACACCCCAGAGATTCCGTCCATGTCGTCTTCCTGAGTCTGACTGTCCCATCTGCCAGGTGGGGGGCTCCAGGAGTTGTAGGAGCAGGACCGGCGGGGAAGCTGGGATCTGAGTCAGGTTGTCACTGCGCTGCACTGGCTGCTGCTGCGCTGGGAACAGTCGGAGGCTGGGAAGTGTGAGCAGGGAGACCAAGAGGAGCCTCTTCAGTAACCCCAGAGTGAAACAAGGGTTTCCCAGGGCCCCCAGGGGTGTTGTGGTGGAGATGGTGGGAGGCGGCTGGTTTCTGAAGGGCTCTGAAGAAGCCAGCACGACCGGGCGAGGCAGGCAAGCAGGGGAACACGCGTGGCCCGCGTGGCCGGGCACCAGGAATGACGCGGAGAGGGGGCGGCCTCGGGACAACTGTTCAGGGCCGGCTTTCAGTCAGCCCGGGCCGCCGTGCACATGTATCCCCGCGGACGGGCGCAGCGTTTAAACAGCAGACTTCCATTTCTCGGTGTTCTGGAGGCTGCAGGTCCAAGATCGGGGGGCCGGCGGCCTCGGTGCGTGGTGAGGCTGCGTCCTCACAGACGGCCGATTGGTCAGTGTCCTCCCGGGGCAGGAGGGACAGGGCGCTGCCCGGGGTCTAAGGGCAGGGACACCATCCATGGGGCTCTGCCCTCATGGCCCAGGCACCTGCCAGGCCCTGCCGCCTCGGCCCACCTAATGCCACCGCCCTGGGGGTTAGGCTTCAGCGCAGGAATGAGGGGCGCGGGCCGCAAACATGAGCTGGGGAGACGCCACGGCGGTCGGCCTCCCCTCGGCGCCGACCCTGGGCGCCGGCGCTCGCTTCCCTCTGCGCCCCGAGGACCTGCGGCCGCGCCCGGAACCCGCTGGCCGCCGCGCCGCACCCGCCGGGGGTCACGCTTGGGCGACGGACGCGGGGTGCGCGCGCAGCCGCTGGTGCGGTTCCGGTTCCGGCCCGAGGAGGACGAGCGGGGCCCGCGGCCGCTGAGGTAGAGCCCGCCGCCCCCGAGCCCCGCCGCCCCGCGGGCAGGGCCCCTCCTCCCGGCCCCGCTTTTCTTCAGCGACCGGCCGCTCGTCCCGCAGCTTCGCGGCCGCAGGGGCCCCTGGGTCACGCGGAGGGACCCTGTCGCGGCCGGGGCCCCGCCTCCGTGGCCCGGGGAATGGTGGGCAGTTAGTCGGGCCCGCGTCCAGCCGTCGTTGGAGAGGAGCTTGATCTGCCATGTGTAAAATAAATTGGTTTCCGCTTCTCTTTGGGCCTGGAGGAGGCGCCCCTGAGGCGCCTGCACCCCTGCCTGCCTGTCTGGTGGCTGCGTGCGCCGTGTTCGGTGCACAGGGTGCGGATTCGGAGCGGGCCCGGCTCCTCTCGGCCAGCAAATCCCTAACGGTGACGGTCTGTGCGGGCCGGGTGTTTGCAGGCCCTGCGAGCGCCCCTCTGGCGGGAGATGGGAGACTTTAAAGAGGAGGTTGATGGTGAGCTGGGCTTTGAAGGATGACTAGGAGTTTGCCAGAAAGGGAAAGGAAGAGAACCTGGAGGTGGGAGCAGGACTCTCCCGTCCCGTCTGGGCAGTTTTGATAACCAGCCAGGAGGGGAGCTGTTTGTCGGGGGGCGGTGGGGGGGCGGAGGTCCGGATGGCAGTCGGGCAGCAGGGCTGTGCCCAGGAGCATAAACGTTAGCAGTGGGCTTCAGGGGGCCCTGGGAGGTTTCTGATGTGAAACGTGACTGTCTAGTGAGCTCCCCTTGGTCCCGGCTTTGACCGTCATAAGAGGTTTCCTCTTATGCACGTCCCAGAACCTCTCAAGGCTGACTTTGGTGGGTTAACGGGGGCCAGGATTGTAAGCTTTATCCTGCCAGATGGCATTTTTGAAATAGTATGTGACTTCCTGATATGGATGTCAGCTGAAGTGTTTGTTTTTCCCTTCGGTTTGTTTATTTGAGTGTAGTGATCACCAATGCAATGTGAATGCCTGTTACTTAAAAATGTAACTTTAAAACAACCCCAAACCACAGGCGTCATGTTGAAATGAATGTCCCCCGCCACAGGGGAGTTGCAGCCACCTCTCCCACCCCATACCCATCAGGGCAGCAGACAACAGGAAATGCTGGGGTCCACTTTAAATTCAGGGTCTGGGGAGTGGTGTGGATCGAACAGGTGCTGTTTTATTCATTTTGAAACCAGCCACCTTCATTTGAATGCAAGTATCATTCTTATGAAGTAATTTCTGTCCCGTGGCTACATGGCGCCAAGAACGGTGCGGCCATGTGCGTCCCCTCTGTGTGCGCCAGGTCACTCTAACATGAGCTCTGCGCGGCGGGGTGTGTTGCCCCGTCTACTGCTGGAGAAATGATGGCTTAGACAGGTGAACAGAAGCCAGGAAGAAAGGAGCTAATTTCCAGTCTGGGTCTATATTGACTCTGACACCTGGCCTTAACGCAAAGAAGTGATCTTACTGGTGTTGGGGTAGTGGTGAGAGTGGTGGTCTTACCGAGAGTCTGGACCGTTAGAACAGAGAGTGGTCTCTGCCACCAAGAGGAATGTAAGAGCGTGTGCCCTTCCCTGGGAGAAGGCTGTCCTGGCTTACCAGGATGCAGGGTCTGCTTTTGACGGATGTGTCACACTGCGGCACGGTGGGCTCGACGCTGAGGGCAGTATCATGAAGTTGTCCTTGGAGAAGGGCACCCGGCTGGACTGTACATTATCTGCTGCAGTGTCACTCCAGGCTGTGCTGGTGGGGGTGACGGGTGCCCATGGCACCTGGAGGTGTGGCTCTCCTCCTGATGCACCTGTTCCCTCTGAACATGGAGGTGCTGAGAATGGTGACACGGTCTTCTGCCGTGAACAGATTTCTTTTGGCTTGTCCATGGCAGGGCCCTGATCCCTGCAACCGTGGAGATTTTATCTCTGTATTGAAGGAATTTATGATGGTTTCAGAGTCACATGCCTGAGTGACTTAAAAGCTGTTTTGAAGGGGTGGCCCCAGACCCCCACGTTTGGTGGAAAAATGTTAGTACAACCTCTCTGAAGGCATCTCTGCGTATTCACCCAAATTAACGGTAATTTCTGTTGTGAGGCTCCGTGACGAGCACTGTAAGGACCACTTCTCGGCATCTGCTCTGCAAATACCCCCATGTGAGCACGGGTGCGCACACCCTGAACCTCCTGCACATGCACTTGGCGGGCTCCTAGCCTGTGCACCAGCTACACTGCCTCTCCCGGGAGGGCCTGCCTGTGCGAGGTGGAACTGTGTCTGTCTGGCCCCCGCCAGTCCCCATGGAGAGCCTCATGGTCCTGCCACCTCCTGGACACTCAGGGACTCGGTGGAAGGAGATGCCATGGGGGGCCCAGGGGCGCAGCACACTGCTGAGTCGTGGGCGCAGGACTAATGCAGCGAGCACTTGAGCGCTGTTACTGTAACTTACTTTCTCACTGTCTGCATGAATGGAACTGGTTCAGACCCTTTATGAACCAGTAGCTTTCGTTAAAAGAATACTGTTGTATCTTATTTATATTTCCTTCTTTCATTCAGAGAAATTAAAGAGCTGTAGATAGTTAGAAACACCCTGTAGATCCACCATCGAGAACAAGTATTTTTTAAAATATTTTTGTCTCTTTTTTTGTATAGAATAAAATACTGAAGTTGAAGCATATCCATTTTTTTTAAATGACATTTATTAGACTTTTATCTGATTACAAAAGTCACACATGCTCATGGGAGAAAATTGAGAATCACTAGGAAGAATATGAAGCCGTCAACTCTGTAACCCGTGCGCGTGCGATACCTCTGGGTTGTAGCCGCGGCCACCCCTCTCTTGGCCTGTCTGGGCAGGCCCCTCCACTACTGGGCCGCGGCCCCGACAGCCCCGTGTGTGGCCCCGATGGCCCTAGCCTGTCTAGCATTAGAGGTGACACTGTGTTGAGCGGCCCGCGTGTGCACCCTTTTGTACCTCTCTGCATATTTCCTTAGTACACATTTAAAAACATTAGTATACATTTAAAAAGGGCTTGCATTTCCTGTTTTCTCATCTCACTTTGAAGTGGCTGAAGCATCCTTTGGATGGCTCAGTCTGTGCCCCGAGCCTCGCCTGGACTGGCAGCATCGCCTGTGCCCTTGATGGCCCTGCAGTGGCCTCTCGGCCCCGCCATGGATGCCACCCTGGAAGCAGCGCAGGACAGTGCAGGGCGTGTGGGACCAGCCAGGCCTGGGTCTGGAGCTCCGCTTCTCTAGTTACTTGGTGGTTTCGGGCAAGTCACATGACCTCAGTTTCCCTTTGGAGTTGTGTCCATCCGTGGCCCCTGCGTATGGAGTCAGAAGTCAGCTAGCCCACCCTCCCACCACTAATGGAGGCCCTGGGCAAGGGAGGGACTGTGGGGTTGGCCCCACCTTCAGGTCCTCAGACCGAGATTCCAGCATCTTCCCAGCTGCCCCCACCCTTGGAATGGTGCAGAGCCCGGGGAGCCAGCAGGGTGCTCACACCTCCCTGTGAGAGGTGGGAGGTGCCTGTTTCCCAAGACACAGCAGGGGAGGCCCCGCGTGGGGTGGCCTGCAGGGAGGCATTGAGAGAGTCCGTTCTGTATGTGTCTGTGCCGCAGCTGCAGCCCTGATGCCTCTCTGACACCTCCTGGGGGTTGGGGTGCGTCTGTGTGAGTAGCAACTGGCTGCCTGGGCGCTCTGCTCCTCAGCACCCCAGAAAATGCTGCCACTTCAGCTAGCACCCCGGAACATCACTGAAGCCTCTGGCAGCAGGAATCTCCCTCGGCCCCTAACCCAGAAATACTGGTGGTAGGTTTTCTGTTTGCATATTCTCTGTTTTCGCTTCCCTCATGCCTATAAAGCAAATAGAGAAGAATTTGCTAGAAGCGAGGACAGCAAGCATGTTAGAGCCACCCCTCCGCCCCGGTCTGCATCCCACTGGCTTGCTTTCTTCTGAAACTGGTGCATCTCACGTGCTCATCACGTTTCTTGTTTTCTCTGGTCTAGCCCAGCTGTTCTCTTATAGTTTGTCAGCTTGCTTTATCACACCAGAATCTGGGGGTGTAAAACCAGCCATGAATCCACCTCTGAGCCATGAGCCATGTGTAAGGCCAGACATGGAGAGGCCTTGGACGCCCTGGCCCTCAAGAGGCTGCCTCTTAAACCTGGGACTGGCGTGGGTCATGTGCACTTGAGAGCCACCCGTTTGGTAGAGGCCATGGAGCAGCCCAGCTGGAGGTGCTGGCCTTCCTCCTTGTCTGGGAGGCTGGAGCCACTCCCCTGCTGGCCAGGCTGGAAGGCCTTCTATTAGGAGGCCCGGCCGGTGGGAGAAGCCAGCTGACCAGAGGGACACCATTACCAGCACACTAAGGGCCTCTCACTTAGTAACTGGGTTCTGGCAATTCTTATGGTTGTGGAGTTTGTTTGTTTTGTTAGGTAATTACAGTGTTGTGTGTAATCTGCTTTTTTAATTAAAAACAGAACAAAACTGTTAGTACATGTAACAAACAGTAGCACATTAGTTTTCCCTGTAGCAAATTAATGTGAGAGAAACATGAGGCTGACAGGAGAGAAATGCTGAACGCTGGGGAGGGTGTGGGAGATGCAGGGACAACGTGGCCTGCGGGCCACCTGGGACACCTGCTGTCTCCCAGGTTGTTCCTGAGCTGCTGTTTGCTGGGCCTGTCGGAACTGGGGGATGGGAGTTCTAGCTTTTATTCTGTCACCTTGTGGGATGGCCCCTATGGGAATCCTCCTCAGCCTCTGGCATTCAGAGGTGCTCTGGGGGCCGGGCCTGTGCCCATGGGAACAGGTGGAGACGCCTCCCACCCACAGCAACATGGGCCCTGAGTCATTCCATCCCCCTGGGGCTAACGCTGCCGTGTGCTGGTGTGTTTGGCTGGTGTGGGACGGCCTGGGCTCCTGTCTCCTTTAGGGGCTGGAAAACTGAGCTTTCTCTTGTAAACTAGAGTTAAAAGTGGACACCTTGTTTATATCATGTACAGGCGGTTGAGGGTGAAAACATCCTATTAATAACACTCATTAAACATCCTCTGGGAGCAGCCTCTTAGCTCCTGGTCAGGGTGCTGCTCTGACCAGGAGCCGCAAGTTGGAGCCGAAAGGTCAGCAGAGCCCCAAGAGTGTGCCTGGGGAGGGAGGGCCAGTGACCCTTCTTAGCTCCAGAGGCCACAGTTGGGAGTGGCCCCTGAAGGAGCTGGAAATGGGGTGAATGCTTGTTACTGACCTTGATGGGCAGCCCTGGGAGGGAGCCAGGTTCAGTTAACGTTGGTGGTAAAGAATCTGGGGCGGCAGAGGGGCTCCTGACATCCTGAACTCACCCGACTTCAGTTATAAACTGCTGTTGGTGCAGAAGCAGTTGGGAAGTGTGCACCCTTTCTTACTAAGTGCCCACACTCTGGCCTTTCCCTGTGGGCAGGATCCTGCAGGATGTGGCCCTTGAAGGCCGGGGCTTTGAACCGACTGCAGGAGGCTGCACAGCCCCTTGCCAGGCCTCCTTTCTCCGAGGCACCCAGAGGAGTTCTAGTTGACAGTCAGCTGGGCACAGTCCCTCCCAGCAAGCTCTCCTTTCTTGCTTGACCATTTTGGTCATCGCTAATGTTTTGTTTTTGGAGAGAGGGAGCAAGCTCCCAGAAGTCCCCCGTTCGGGACGTGAGCCATGCGTGTCCGGCTCCAGGGGTGCCCAGGCCCTGCCCGCTGCGGAGGGATGTCCTCACTCCTCTCGGCTGGGATCTTCCCAGGCTCAGACTTTGAAAAACAGTTTTTTCAGAATTTATGTTAAGTGTATTGAATTCTTTGTGCTTCTCCTCAGTTTGACCTAGTTTGGTTTATCTTTCAGAATCTTGTATGCTTTTGACATCCTTAACCTGTGGCTAAGTGAAAAGCTGGAATGTTGGGCACAAAGACCCCAAAGGGGGTGTATTGGGAGAGTTAGTGTTTCCAGTCTGGGGTGCCACCTCAGGATGACCGTTAGGCGCATCTCATCTGGTGCAGCATTTTAATTGGACCTCCCTTTGGTGACTTAGGATGGGGTTTGGTGGGGGTGACATGCTGCCCCCTCTTTTCCAGCCCCACCCCAGGTGGATCAAGTCGGATGTCATCTGCAATGCTGCCCCACATGGCGCTGTCCGTCCGGTGCCGGGTCTGCGCCGTGGCCTCCTGCCCGCCTGCTCTCTGGAGACCTAGAGGGAGTGGCCTCCTGCACACAGGCCCAGAAGCCCTCTCTGACAGGGGCGCCCCGGTGTTCAGCCGTGCCTTGGCCTTTGGGGCCAGAACCGCCCTCGTCGACCAGCACGGCCACCACACATACGTGGACCTTTACTCCCGCAGTGTCCGCCTGTCCCGGGAGATCTGCAGGCTCCGCGAGTGCACAGGCGGGGACCTGTGGGGGGAGAGGGTCTCCTTCATGTGCTCCAATGACGTGTCCTACGTGGTGGCCCAGTGGGCCTCATGGATGAGTGGCGGCATCGCTGTCCCTCTGTACAGGAAGCTCCCGCAGGCCCAGCTGGAGTATTTCATCCGGGACTCCCAGAGCTCCGTGGTCCTGGCCGGCCAGGAGTACGTGGAGCTCCTGAGCCCAGTGGTCGGGAAGCTGGGGGTCCCACTCCTGCCTCTCCCGCCCACAGTCTACAGCGGGGCAGCGGAAGAGCACAAGGATGGGGAGGTGCTAGAGCGGGACTGGAGAGACCGGGGCGCCATGATTGTCTACACCAGCGGGACCACGGGGCAGCCCAAGGGCGTGCTGAGCACCCATCCCAACATCCAGGCCATGGTGAGTGCTGCTGTGTGCTGCTGCCACAGGCCACAGGGCCGCAGTCAGTGGGCAACTGAACTATGGGGCGATAAAGGGTCACGGTGCCGTGTGACTGCCAGGGCCACTAGCCCACGTGGGATGACTCCGAGGAAGGCCAGGGGGCTTCAGCACTCAGGTGTAGAGGGAATCATGGGCCTGTTGATGGGCCCCCATAACAAATGATGCCAACAGGGCAGCTTAATCAGCAGTGTATTCCCACGTGTGGCATGTGGAGGGCAGCAGGGGCCACCACATGTGGCTCAGAGGCACCGGCCATGACGCACACACTCAGGATGTGTGGCCAGCAGACTTCAGGCTGGCTTGGGAAGCCGGGAAGCAAGAACCCACATGCCCACATGCTGGGCATTTCTGGCGTGCGTGGGACGCTGTGCTCAGCAGCGACTGGGAGACTCGATCAGCACGACAGTAAAAGCCGAAGAACTGCCTGGAAACCCAGCTCTGGGCCCTGCCATGGCCCCAGCAGGGAGGGTGGTGCTGAGGTCAGCTGGGAGGCTGGCTGGACAGAATCAGGCCTGGGCTCTGGAAGGCCCCGAGTCCCAGGGCCTGTTGGGGCTGAAACCATGCCCCTGACTGCCTGGGGCAGAGACACCCAGAGTGTGTGCAGAGGCCTAGGACACCCCAAACGAAGCCCCTTCTGTCTGGCTTTGCTCTCTGACACGGGTGAGCAGCCGAACCCACAGGTCCCGGGTCACCTTGTTGCCGCCTCCTGCAGATGCCGTCAGAGGCGGGTAGCAGGGCGCCTCCTCCTCCCTCAGCACACTGTCCCCCATCTGAGGCTGTTGTCCTGCAGGTGAAGGGGCTGGTCCACAAGTGGGCGTGGACCAAAGACGATGTGATCCTGCACGTCCTCCCGCTGCACCACATCCATGGCGTGGTCAACAAGCTGCTCTGCCCGCTCTGGGTGGGAGCCACCTGTGTGATGCTGCCCGAGTTCAGCGCTCAGCAGGTGAGTGGGGGACAGGCGAGTGGGGACAGGTGGGGCCCGAGGACCGGTGCTTTCCTGGGTGTGGCTTTGCCAGCAGTGGAGGCTGTTGCCAGTGTGACAGGTGACCCCAGCTAGGCGGCCCAAGCATGAAGGGCTGTGCTCTCAACTCTGGGAGGTGGAACCCCACCGAGTCTACAGCTGGAGTCGAGGTGTCAGCACGGCTGGCCCTGCCTGGGGGCTCCAGCTGCTGGCAGCGCACACCCCATGCCGTGGGGCTGCATTGCTTCAGGCTCCGCCTCTGTGCTCTCGTGGCCACCCTCTCTTCTGGGTCAAGTCCCCCTCTGCCTCCCTCTCGTGAGGACCTGTGATCACAGCGGGCCCCCTGGGGACCCAGGGGGAGCCTCCATCTCAAGAGCTGTAACCGCCTCTGCAAAATGCCTTCTGCTGCACCAGGTGACGCTTCCGTGAGGACTGGGACTGGGTGTCTTGGGGCTGTCAGGTAGCAGAGCACGCAGCCTTCAGTCTTGGACTGGGTGGCCCAGCCGGGAGCTCTGAACTGTCTCCTGGGGTTCCTCATGCTGGCATGTTGTCCCTTCCCCCCGCCACTGTCAGGCTGGCAGGGGTGGGGATGCTGCACTCAGCCTAGCCACTGGCGCCCACTCGGCATTCCTGCCGCTTGTCTCTCTTGCCCCTGGGAAAGTACCTGGTTCTCTGCCAGCAGCTCAGAGCTCATATTTTAGTCGAGCGTGAATTTCCTCACAAAGGGGCCCCTGAAGGCCTGGGAACCTGGTCTGCAGGATTCGTCATTGTCCAAGGCCCCCGTTTGGCAGGTGTCAAGAGCCTCAGGTGGCATCCTCTCCTCAGGCCTGGGGCCTTCACTGCTTGGGGTGGGACCTGCAGAGAGTGGGGCTCTGAGGACACGCAGACCCCAGCGCCAGTCAGCCACTCAGAGCTGCAGCCCAGGCCACCTTCTGCCTCTCTGAGAAAGAAGAGCAGGGACCCCTGGCCCTGGCCCTGAGCCTAGGAACATATTGGGGAGCCCAGCCCCAGAGGCGGAGGATTAAAGAGAAGGGGCCCTCCCCGTCCCTTCCTCTGGAGAGACTCCCTGTTTGCTGACAAGTGACATTGGGCTTTAGAGAAAAACATAGTGGTGGGTGAAGACAGGGCATTGACCTGGCCCGAGAGCCCTGGCACAGTCCCGACCGGCCAGCAGGCGAGGCTCCTGGCCTTCTGCCAGCCCTCCCTACAGCCCCTGACTCTTTGTGTTTTATTCCTAAGCTGCAGGCCCCTTAGCAATTCCAGACGGACAGTCAGGAGCTGGAAGACGCCTTTCAGGGCAGCAGCCTGAGGACCTGCCTCCCCCTAGACATACGGCTCGGCAGGGGTGGTCAGGCTTGCCAGGCGCCCCACGTCTGTGGGTCTCAGCACAGCTCTTTCCAACCCTGGATCTGTGCTGACATTGAGGAGAGGGCTGTGGGGGGAGGGCGGGGCACCTGTGGCTCAGCTGCTCAGGGAGAACTGACCCCTCCACTAAGGGCAAGCTGGGACCTAGCGCACTTTGCCAGGGAGCTTGCGCAGTGCGAGTCGCAGCAAGTGCCACAGGGTCTCTGAAGGATGCAGCCCCTCCCCCTACAGTTCTCCACGCACCTGAAGGGCCTCCTGGGACCCGAGAGCCCTCGGCACCACGGAGCGCACGCAGGAAGCTGTGTTCTCCTGTCGTCACTTTGAGCTGCCCTGCTGCTCCTCCGGCCCGGCCGCCCCACGAGGTTTCCTCAGGAGCTGTGGCTGGGCGGCTGTGGGTCCCCATCACCCCGTACTCTGCATGCTGGGCGTTCACAGAGGCAGCAGGAGCTGTGTCTGCAGATTCCCTATCAACAAGGAGAGGGGCCCCCTAACTCAGAGCCCCGGAAAGCCTGGGCCAGGACCCACTCCTCACAGCCATCTGGATGTGGAGAGAGTCCATTTCCCAGTTACTGATTCCGGAGGGACACCAGTGCCCTTTGTAGGTGTGGCAGGGATGCAGTGCAGGGCCGGCTCAGCAGAGGAAGGCTGAGCCGGGACCTCCCCGTGAACCCAGGCCTTGTCCCCCAGGGGAGTCTGGCCCCTCCTTGGCCTCGCCCCCCTATGGCTTCCTAGAGCATCTCCCAGGATGGTGGGGGATTTAGGGTCTAGCATTAGTGAATGAGTGGGTGCGTGGTCCCCACTTTGTTTCAGGGGATGAGCATGGCTCCAGGGCCTCTGGCTTTCCGTCTGACCTTGGACCGCGGGGCATGCTGGCAACAGAGGTCAGAACCCTCTACAGACTGTCTCTGTTCTCTCAAATACCCTTGTGACCACCGAGGTTGTGTCACAGGCGAATGGGGGAAAGTCTCTTGAAACCACTTCGGGTGGTTATTTGTCTAGTGAAATGTTACTGTACAGCTCCTCCAAGGCATCACCCCGGATAGATGGCAGTGTGACTGCTGTAGATTGCTTTAAAGTGAGTCGCTGCTCTGCAAAGCCCTGGGTTCGTGCAGGTCGGTCAGACCCAGGGTGGCACCTCCTGTGCTCACAGTTCTGCGTGCGATCGCCAGAGGTGGCATGTAGCCGGCGTGGGCCACGGGGGATTGCTTGGAACATGGGCACAGACCCTCATCCCCCAGGGTGGGAAGCCTCACCTGCCGTCCTTGGCACTCCACCCTTTGAAGACATCTTGCTGGCTTTAAAGCTTGAAAGAATGAACTTTGCTGAATACGTTGTTTGTTGTGGCTTAGATAATCTGAAAATAAGAGTGGATTTTGGACCTGTGCAGAGTCAACAGGGTTAAACCAGCAGGGGTCTCAGACCTGCCCCCAGGGTGTGGGCTCTGTGTGAATTACCTGGCCCCCGAGCACTCCCCTGTGTCCCCACTGTGGCTGCCACCACGTACATGGCAGTGTCCACTGAGCAGCGAGGGCCCTTGTCTGCTGTGACAGTGGGGTGCCTGCGGGGTGCCAGAGGTGAGGGCGCAGGGCCGCTCCCTGAGAGGGTCCCGCCGCAGACCTCTGTGGTGCGCAGCCCGCACGGGGTTTCTCAGAGCTACAGCAGAGCCAAGTCCTGGAACACGCAGGGTCTCTGAACTCACAAGTTTATATTACACTGATGACTAGTCAAGCCCACTGTCAGCATTGTTAAACACAGGTATGCCTGCTTTTTGAAAGTTTGTATTACACCATTTTGCTTTTACAAAAGACCCACACAAGTACCTGATATCACTAACTGGAAGAAATCTAGAGGATTTTTGCTTTTATGAAAAAAGGTGAAGAGTGAAAATAGTGCTGCGCTGGTTTTGCAGCGAGTTTGGTGGTGAAGCGGCAAGAGGCCCATGGATCCCTCCCCTGGCCTCCGTGCTTCGCTGGATCTTGTGCCCCATTAGCAGCAAGTGTCCTGGGGCATCAGAAAAGCCCCGGAGAACTTACTTTTGGTGTCTGGGAATGCTCAAAAACTTTTCCATGCGAACTAACAATATTGCTGCTTCACTTTACGCCCTCTCACTTATGAAAGGCTTCATAGGCACGCGCTACTTCCAGACCGCGGGGGAGCTGTGTCAGGGTTTTGTCTAAGCTTATATTTAGGGAATCCATGTAAAGCAGTAACCAGGCTTCCGAGGGATGGCCCGAAACCTGCAATGGCGCCTCAGTGGTCTCAGGTCATCCGCCGAACAGAATGTGTGCTGACGATAGGGTGACCGTCTGTCTGCATCCTGCAGGGCTGACTGATGAGGGGACAGTGGTCTGGGGGCAGGCAGGAAGATGGATGGGCCAGGTGCCTGGTGTCACCCCAAAGAACGAGGTGTCACTGTTGATGAGGCTGCCCAGAGCCTCGGTCGCTTCCTTGTCACAGGTGGCCGCTCGTGGAGGAGGCGGTATCCACAGGGGGCTCCAGGTCAGGAGGACTGCAGGGCTGGGCCTCGCTCCTCTCCGCCCACTGGGGTCCCGCCCAAGGGGGGCCAGGCCCGCCGAGCACAGTGAGCTGGGCCGGGCGGGAAGTGCTCCAGGCCCTGGTCCTCTGGGCTGCGGCACCATGTTCCACGAAGACCATTCTCGGGGGGCCGCGTTCCCACTCAGCACCCACCAGTGCATCCTGCCAAGGCACACCCCACCCAGGATACTGTTTGCCTGGGTTAAGCAGACAACTCCCCTCTGGGACCTGAGAAGTCAGCTTCTTGTCAAAGTGTCTGTGGGCCGTTTCCAGGCTTGGTGCTGGTACAGGCAGAGTTCAGGCCTCACAGCTCTGAGCACAGCCTGGGGGTCACTGGGACAGGGGTGCTCACAGGCCTTAGGAGCCAGCATGCAGCTGTGTCCTGTGTCTGGCCTTTCAGTATGAAGTGTCCTGCCTTACAGGACCGGCGCACCTAGACACGCAGAACAGGAGCCATTCATGGGTGTCATTTAGGACCCCCAACAAGAGGGACCCACTTCACAGACTGAGCTGCTGCAGCCCTCACTGGGCTCGGCAGTCTTGCAGCGGGTCTCCGTCCCGGCTGCAGGCAGAGTCACGGTGGGGAGATGGGGAGGAAAAGAGGTGCTGGCCCCCACTCTGCTGCACCCCCCATGGGCAGGACCCCAGCTCCTCCAGGGCCCCTTGTGTGCAGCCTGGCAGGAGCAGTCGTCTCAGAGCTGTGACAGCTCTTGTCTGCTGCCCCTGAAGTGTTTTCACTGTAACGCGTGTGTGCTAAACGACAGGAGGGACGGCTCCTGCTTTAGGGGTCACGCTTCGGGACAGCAGCCGCCCTCTTTGCTGCTTCACGTGAATTCCGAGGATGGCGAGGCCTTCCCAGCTGCGGGCGGCTCCTAGGAGACAGCACCTGGCTGCACTGCCTCTGTGCTGTGTGCTGGCGTCCGTTGCCAGTGCTGGTGAGCACAGGACTGGTCAGCACGCTTCATTGGCTGGCCACATGCTCTGTCCATGCATCAGCCTCACGTGGGAGGCCTGGCAGGGACCACAGGTCCCCAAAGAAAACGGGCGGCCGGCATGGCCCCTCCTCCTCCTCACCTGCCCCG